AAAAAAAAAAAACAAAAAACCACCAGCTCAGTGCCCACAGCACAGTAGTTATGGTGTCAGCCACATACACCAAGGCTGGTGGGTTCAAACCCAGCCTGGACCTTCTAAACAACAATGACAACTGCAACAAAAAAAATAGCTGAGCGTTGTAGCAGGTGCCTGTAGTCCCAGCTACTTGGGAGGCTGAGGCAAGAGAATCGCTTAAGCCCAAGAATTAGAGGTTGCTATGAGTTATGGCGCCACAACATTCTACTGAGGGTAACATAGTGAGACTCTGCCTCAAAAACAAACAGACAAACAAAAAAAAACCACCCATATCTTCAAATATTAAATTATAGCTGAGCTTGGTAGCTCATGCTTGTAATCTGAGCATTCTGGGAGGCCAAGTTACAAGGACTGCTTGAGGCCAGGAGTTCAAGATCAGTTTGGACAATATAGTAAGACTCCGTCTTAAAGAAAAAAAAGAAACGAAAAATTATATAGGCAAAATGAAGCTGGGCGTGATGGCTTGTTCTGGTAATACTAGCACTTTATATGAACTATCTAGAATAGGTAAACCTATAGAGACAGAACATAGATTGGTAGGTGTCAGAGGTTTGGGGGACAAAGAAAAAAAAGAGGAACTGCTTTCTGGGTAGGGTTTCATTTGGGGGTAATAAAAATGCTTTGGTATTATAGGTGGTGGTTATATAACAATGTGAATAATATTAACTGTACTGAAATATTCACTTTAAAAGAGTGAATTTTGTTACATGAATTTCATCTCAATAAAAAAATCAAATCAAGGAAAGCTTTCTGTAAGAATTGACTGGCTTTATGGAATTTACAATAAAGAGTACTATATATTTTATCATTAGTTGTAAATTGTGTGCCAAACATCCTCTAGATCAGCAAAATTTATAATAAATTTGTGTGTATATATACATATGTATATGCACATTTTTCCCCAGAAAGTCAGCACTGAACATTTACCAGCACACCAATGGAGAGGTAAGAAGAATCAGAACATGTAGGTCTTATAAATTTATTCAATGGTTCTCAAAAGCCATGGGTGAGGCTGGGCACAGTGGCTCATGCCTGTAATCCTAGCCCTTGGGAGGCCAAGGTGGGTGGATTGCCTGAGCTCACAGGTTGAAAACTAGTCTGAGCCAGAGCGAGACTAGCTGGGCGTTGTGGCGGGTGCCTGTAGTCCCAGCTATTTGGGAGGCTGAGGCAAAATGATCACTTGAACCCAAGAGTTTGAGGTTGCTGTGAGCTATGACGCCATGGCACTCTATCGGGAGTGACCAAATGAGACTCTATCTCAAAAAAATAAAAAAAGTATAACTATTGATAGATGAAAAGATTTTATATACAGAAAATCTTAAAAATCTACCAAAAAACTATAGTCATGTGCCTACATAATGCTGTTTTAGTCAACAATGGACCATATATTCAATGGTCCCATAAGATTATAATGCAGCTGAAAGATTCCTATAGCTGTCATATTATGTCACATGCATGTGTTTGTGGCGATGCTGTTGTGAAGAAACCTACATAGCACATATAATTATGTACATAACATATAACTTGATAATAACCATGTTACTTGTTTATGTATTTACTATATTATACTTGTTTTCATTATTTTAGTGACTCCTACCTATAAAAAAAAAAAGTTAACTGAAAAACAGCCTCAGGTAGGTCCTGCAAAAAGTATTCCAGAAGATGTTGTTGGCTTGGCGCCTGTAGCTCAAGTGGCTAAGGTGCCAGTCACACATACCAGAGCTGGAAGATTTGAATCTGGCCTGGGACAATGACAACTACAACCAAAAAATAGCTGCGTGTTGTGGTGGGTGCCTATAGTCCCAGCTACTTGGGAGGCTGAGGCAAAAGAACTGCTTAAGCCCAGGTGTTGGAGATTGCCATGAGGTATGATATCATAGCACTCTAACCAGGGTGATAGCTTGAGGCTCTGTCTCAATTAAAAAAAAAAAA